AACAACATTAATAAAGATGAATCTGTATTTAATTTATACAGTGAAGACAATGCAGTTATTTTACATTTGTTTATTTTACTTTATTCAATTTATGTAACTGAAAACTACTATTAGACCAACCTGAAAAATCTGAAAAGCACAGTTTAATAAATAAATAAACTTGATTTTCAAAAGTCAACAAATTTGCGACAAACATGTCAGCCAGTATAACATGTCATTTATTTAAGCCATGAAATAAACTTAATTCCGTAAAATAAGTATAATTAACTACACAAAAAGCATTTAGAATGTCTCTAACACATTTTATAATTACCCAAAAATCCAACATAGTTCACCTATCACGCACGTTATCACATCCATCAAAAACTTAGGCTATCTGTCGGTTGAAATATTACAACTAAAAACATTGACATACTGTACCACACTCATGGGCATCAATCACTTCACTGAATACTTGCCAAGTTGCCAGCTAAGAAATAAATTATTTCCTTACGGAATAGTGAAGATCACAATAATAATGTCTATCAAAAAATAACATGCAGTATTCACTGCAGTATTTACGAGAAGCAGAGGTCCAGGGAGTACACGCATTTCCTGGAAAACCCACACTATCAGATGTTTTGACAAAGTCCTCGCTTTCCGAGAAGAGGGTGGACATGACGGCCTGAGTGGCTTCAACATGCTGTCGGTCAGAGACGATAACGTACATAATACATAACGCACGCGAGTATAAATTTGTTCTTCACTCGCTGACATTGAATCGGAATGATCAGGGAAATGCTTCATGCAAAAGAGAATAAAAGCCAATCCGAAAAACTTTGCAATCTTTCAAAATGTTTTGACGGACATTTTTCATGCACAAACTACGCATTCTAACATTCCTGATTTGAATATTTTCAATAATTTTATATTCTTAACTGATCTTTTTTTTCCCCATCATTTTGGCAAAAGATTAAATGTTAAATGAGTGATCTTGAGATGAGTCCCTGTAGTCGTCCAAATGGACTCATTGGCTGATGAAATATATATTACAAACTCGACAGGTGATTTTTATAAAATGTAGTTTGATCACTATCTTCTCAGTTGTTATTATCAATTATAACAACTGATTATCAATTATAAAAATGATCAAAGTTTGATCAAATGTGGTTTAATTTTCCAATAAAAGATGCAATTTTTTTTACATGATTTGTTAAATTTAATTAAACGCACAGTATGTAATTTTTGGCCACCAGGGGTCGCTAATCTCATACAATAACAAAGGCGTATATCGATGACGCAAAGCATCAAGCGGAATTATGGATCTTGTCGTCAAGCTGATGGATCTTTTATGGATGAGTGAATACAGTGATGTTTTTAACATGACTGTGGTGTGAAGCAGGGCGCGATTGCTAATGAGAGACGTATACCAGCGCCACACGCGAGTCCCGAGGATATAAAGGAATAAGGACATTTTATTCTACCGAACTACACACAAGTGCTGAATTAATAAGTTACTCACAGGTCAGTTTATTAGATGAATTAAACTTAAGGTAACGCAGCGCTGTTTCACTTGCTCTAATAGTTACACGATCACACTAAACGGCATTTGAGGCATGTTGAATGTTGTTAGTTAGGTTGTTTGTTGGCTGTATGAGACTAGCAGTAAGCTAGATCAACATTAGAATAACATACAGATCAGATTTCATCATATTGAACTAAATAACATTGATTAGTTCTATGTACATTTGCTCACCTGTCTTACGTTAATAAAGTACATGCAACACTCGCGTCTCTGTCAAGTCGAAGTTAGTCGCGGACGTGGAGCTCTCGGCATCTCGAAAGATTTTGATCTTCGTTCTAGTCCTCTTTTTGTCTCAAAGTCTGCTTGCCATGGTCCAAAATGTTTGAACAAAACAATAACAGCGTGAGCGTCCTGCTAAGCATAACCCAGTTGTCCACGTCTGTCGCCATGGTTACTATGGCAGTACGACCGGAAACCGAGGGTAACCCGGATATGACCATTGACTGGCGACTCCTCACCCCTGCTGACACGTCCCGTTTCCTTGGTTAAAATCACAATTTTAACCAAGTTTACAAATAGTTGGAAACATTGGGGATATTGTAAGTGATCAACTAAACAAAATATATAACATTGGCCTAGTAGTTTTTGGATAGTTTACTGCAAAAATCCTACATATTGTACCTTTAAATGGTAACACTAACATTAAGGTCTCATTAGTTAACATTAGCTAATGTATTAACTAAGAAACTAACAATAAGTAATACATTTGTTTGCATTTATTTTTTATTTATATAAATATGTATTAATCTTTGTTCATGTTAGTTAATAAAAATAGTAGTTAATTGTTCTTGTTAGTTCACAGTGCATTAAATAATGTTAACAAATACAACTTTTGATTTTAATAATGTATTAGTAAATGCTGAAAGTAACATTAACTAAATTAATAAATGCTGTAGAAGTATTGTTCATTCTTAGTTCATGTTAACTAAAGTAGTTAACTTATGAAACATTATTGTAAAAATACCCCTTAGCAGATTTTGACTAATACTTTTACAGGTAAAGTTTTACAAACTCACAACTAGTTTGTAAAACATTACCTGTAAAAGTATTAGTCTATGTATGTCTATGTAAAGCACATAAATTAGTGGCAATTACATGGGGAAAACTGCTAATTGATGAGTGAAGCATTTAAGTATCCCAAGTGTAAAAACAGTCATTACACAAGCCGCCCTAAAGACTCTCTTACCTTTCAGCCCTATTTGACCGTTAAGTTTCAGACAGACAAAGAATCAAACCTGTTATTGTACTGAAGAAAAGAAATGTAACTTATGTTGGCACTGACTACTGACATTTTTGACAACACAAAAAACCATAATTAAGATATAATGTCATCATGTCATGTCAGATTGCATTGCGAAACAGTGGTTAGTTGACTATGAAAGTCATGGTGATGTAAGTCAGGGAAAATGTGCCACACCTGTTCTAAGTAATCTAGTGAAAAAGAAAATAATGAGAAAAAAGTGAGTAACTTGCTTGTACAAAACATGCATGCTCGTCACTTTTCCTGTCCTTCCTTTTCTGTGACACACACAGACACACACACATACACAGTGTATCAGATGTATTTATAGAAATAAATCAACCACATCAAAACCTTCTCCAGTGACAAACCGCACATCTGCATGGAACAAAAATCCATGTAAAATACAAAAGCCACAATGCAAAACCTGGGTGGCATTTAAGCTTAGGTTTGACTAAGCTTATGTTCACACAGAACACATTTTTACATTCCACTGCACTGCTTTTGTTTTCTTTGTAAATACGTGTGCTAGAGAGACATGTTTGACTGATTGACAGTCTTTTGTCAAGCCTTTCTAAAAACACAGTTCAAACATGTCTAGATCTTGCGTTTTTTGTTCATTCCACTGCACTGTTTAAACAAAAATGCATTCTGTGTGAAAGGCCCCTTAACTGTTTAAAAACACTACACTACAGTTGGTACTTGTTACACACTTTGTTTGGAACATAGTCCCAATAAAAAAAATCCATCGTTGAGCAGTTTCAAGAGTTTTCATGTCTTGTTAATAATTTCAATATGGTTAAACTTTTTGCTCCTAAAGAGGCTTCATCCGGTGTGAAATACTATACAGCACATCAGCTCACATTCACACAGGAAGTCTTCTTGAAGCTCTATTCATGTGTCAACCCAAACTATTGACCTTTGTGTCAGCAGCTTGGATCTTTAACCATTAGCGTACAGCCATAGTATGTATGAAACCTTGACCTATAACATGTGTTAGCATGTTATTTATGCTTACACACTACTGTTCAAAAGTTTGAGGTTTTTAAAAGAAATTAATACTTTTATTCAGCCATGATTAGGGATGTGCCCGAAGCTGAATATTAGTTTAGAAAGGAAATTACACATTCTACAGAGCCCCTAAAGGAACATGGTATTGGAAAAAAATATGAGATGGATTTTGCGTTTGCAGGCAATAGGGAGACGCTATCAATATTCAGGTATTGAAATCGCTGTTGAATGGATGCTAGTTTTTTTACTTTCATTTTCCAATTTACTCTGTGTAGGCTATAGGAAGCAGTGGTACTGACCACACATTTTACAAGAGAAGATATTTGTCAATAACGCTCCTCAGGATCTGTTGAGACATCATCCTGTCAGTCATCACGTCTTACTTATGTCACGGTTCTGTTTAGTTGGTTTCATTTTCATGGACTTTTAGTTTATTTTCAGTCACATGTGTTCCTTAGTTCAGTTTCCCGCCACTCTTTAGTTGTCATGGAGATTCATTTATTATCACAGGTGTTTGTCATTATTTCCCTCATTTGCTTTGTATTTAAGTTGCAGCCTTTTCAGTGTTCATTTGTCCGGTCACAATCACCATAGTAAATCACCATATTCGAATGATTTCTGAAGGATCATGTGGCACTGAAGACTGGAGTAATGATGCTGAAAACTCAGCTTTGCCATTACAGGAATAAATGACTTTTTAAAAATATATTAAAACAGAAAACCGTTATTTTAAATTGTAGTAATATTTCAAAACATTATTGTTTCTTCTTTAAAAAACATTGAACAAATCTTACCAACCCCAAAATTTGGAACGATTCTTTTCATGTCTCTAGTAGGGCTGTTGAATATGAATGAATTGCCTTAAGTGCATGATACAGAGATTAATTAATGAAATGACAAGTTAAAACATTTGTTGACCGTAGCTAGTAAATTAAAACCTTTATGACCGTAGCTAGATTCCATAAATGGGTAAATGACCTTGAATACACACACTTGAAGTAAGAGATATTTACGAGTGAGACTTTTTATAGTCAGGAAGTGTAGCAAAGGCAACATTTATGATAATGGATGTAATTTTGAAGTCTGTGCAGGAAACTGACTCAAAACTACAAACCTCAGTAGCACGGATTTTGCGTATAGGAATGTTCCCTATATAATATCTCCCATAAAACCAGTCAGACTTACCCAGACTCTTCTTTCCAGTTCTCTTTGTCTTTGCTTTGGTGTGTTTTCAGAACCCGCTCCAACTCCTGAGGATGAGAGAGGGGAAGCTCTTTTACATTGTGTGGTGCACTGAGTGTGTTTATGTACACATGTGCATGCTTGTGGTGTCTTTGCTTGACAGATAAGGATTTTAAAAAGCAAGTACACAGGAGGAGTATGGATCTGTGTGAATGTTTAAGCATACCTTTATACACGACACATAGGGTGCATTGTGCTGTAGATCTCCCTCAGACAGAATGGCCTCTTCATCTGGATTTGGGTCAATAAAGTCATATGGTTCCTGATCTGCAGATAATTGACATGAGAACACTAAGGTGAGGCACTTTTATTCCTGTAAACTTATACTGTAATTGCCAACTACATACCAGCAATATGACATGCTACTTCTCACAAACACCAAGAGGCTTTATTTGTCTTTTGTCTTTTTTTTTCTGTGATGTTTCTAGGGCATGGGTTTGCATATCAGTAAATCATGACTGTAAAAATATGTAGTGGTGTCAATCAAAAGTCAACAAACAGAAATTATGTTTTATCTCTTCAATGCACAATGGAATAAGTTAGTTCTGGTATGCAATGCAACAGCTAGTTCATTATGTTATGTCTTCTAGGGAATCGGATTTTGCATATTAGTATGTCATGACTGTGATCATAAGTAGTGATGACAATCATAAGTGAACAAACAACATAATTACAGAAATATATGACATATCAAGCCTTTCTGAATAAAGAAGTGAATTTGCGGCTATAGGTAATTTCCCGACTTGTCTGAGTCGTTCACTTAATAACTGACAATTACTGGCTTTTATAACACCATTTTAATGACAGAAAGAACAGGAAATTGTGTTGGCCTCAACAATCAAGTGTCTGCACGCTACAGGTGAATTAGATGTCTGATAACTGTGCACAAATGTTTATGGCTCACTAAGGCTTTGCAGGACAACAGGATACAAATAATCGGTTTCTAATTCAATTGGTTGAACAGCAAAACAAAACAAAAAATAAAAAAACCTTACCTTATAAATAAGCATTTTGAAATATGCAATTAAAATTTGATTTTTGAAAATCACTTATATTGTGTGATTTGGTGTATCTACACCGGAGTCTGAATTCACTCGCTTTTAGGGATGCACTGATTTTGAAATTGTGTCTGACATGTACACTACTGTTCAAACATTTGTGGTCAGTAAGATTTTCTATTGTTTTTTAAAGTCGTCTCTTATGCTCACCAATGCTGCATTTATTTGATCAAACTGAAATAATACTGCAATTTAAAGTAACTAAAGTAACTGTTTAAATATATTTTTTGTAATAATTTATTCCTGTGTTGGCAAAGGTGAAATTACTTCAGTCTTCAGTGTCACATGATCCTTCAGAAATCATTCTGATATGCCGTATTTGGTGCTTGAGATTTGGTGCTCGAGAAACATTTCTTATTATTGATCAACTTTAATGCTGAATAAAATTTAAATGAACAGTGTTATTAAACTATTTCATATATTTCTAAAGCTTAACTTTAAGTAAGCATTAAATTATGTTAATTAAATTAATTAAATTATGACAACTCTTGGAATAGTTTAGCATGGTAATGGATATAACAATGTTAATGTATTTAGTCTTAGCGACGATAAGCAGAGGTAGAATCCTGTCTCTTATCTTGGCATCATTACTATGGTGTCTTATGGTACAAACAAATCCAAGTTTATTTCAAAGTGACAAAACAGACAGCAGACCTGAGTATCTAATGTCATGAGTCATGACACAATACACAATGCTGGATTGATCACTATCAAAGAAATAAACAAATACACAATGTGAATAATAACCTATGGCCAATATTACTAATGCTGAAAGCACACCTTTGTTTGAGTCCAGCTTTGTGAGAAGTATGTGTGGGTCAGCCCGCGCGGTCTCAGACACTTGAGAGTGGAGACTCATTGTATCATCATCAGATGGCTGGGGAATGACAGACAGAACAGGATTGAGAGAAAAAAACAATAGAAAGGAAATAAAATATTTTTTAGATTTTTTGCCTCTGGCAAACTGTACTAGAGATTTACCAAAGTCCCTTTAAGACAAGTCATTATACGAGTGACGCGTTTTATGTTATTCTATAGTCTTTGTATTTACTCAGTAATTGCTACTTGTTTTAGATCGTCTTTCTTGAACATCCAGATCAGGTCAAGTTCCACAGGTGTGCACAGCCCACCTAATTATGAGCTTAACTCACCCCACCTCAGGCCCTGTTTGCAACTGGTATTAAGATGTGTTTTGGTCGATCAGATCATAAGTAGAAGAGTGAGAGACATACCCGTTTACACCTGTTATACACCTGTCTCTTTTGTCCACTTTCAACTACTTCTGTCCTGATTTCTTCAAGGGAGGGGTCTATGGGTGGGTATATGTATGGGTTTTTCAGATCTTTTGATCTAATGGACAAAATAAGCTTGCGCAATTTACATATGAACGTGCATGGAGACGACGGAAAAACATACGGTGAACAATGGCTTTCGTTTCTGCTCTGATATCCACAAGATCAGCTGAACGCGGTGAGTGCGTGTTGGAAATCAGGAATGGTGAGAACATTGTGCTAAGGTCAGTAGGCGGAGAACAGGTGGCCTTTTGTCTCTGTGCGAACACATTCGACCACATGAGCATTTACGACCACATCACATAATTCAATTCAATTCACATTTATTAGTATAGCATATTTGTATAGCACTTTTCACAATACGCATCGTTTCAAAGCAGCTTTTCAAAAAATGCATGAGTCCACATTACAATTTAGAGTGATCTGTTAGAGGTAATTGATCTGTTAGAGGTAAAAGTTATGTATTTCAGAAATGTACATAATACAAAATCACAGTTAGCTAAAAATGTATTCATTTAAACAATGTAATAATTTAAGGCAGAAACAATGAGCTCATTGAAGTAATGAATACACCAAGAAATCAATCCGGTCTAATGCGTTTTCGACTACCTCTGGAAGTGGTCGAAAATGGACAAGCTCAAAAGTTTTAGACCCCCTTTACACCTGTTTTTAGAGTCGTACACTTGTGATCCGATCGACCAAAACATCCTAATACCAGGTGTAAACAGGGCCTCTGTCTACTGTTTTGATTGTCAGGCAGAATTAATTCAAAACTTTTTTCTATTATATCAAGTAAAAAAAACTCAATATTTGAGCCGTTTGCAGCACTAACTATATATGTGTACAACTAATGTGTCTGTGTGTTTACCTCTGTAGTCGACAGTCTTTTGTCCCCATTGTCACTGCCAATACCGGAGTCAGGGCCATGGTTTTTACTGGGATAAAAATCTTCCATACTACACAAACAAACACATATTCATGTAAAACAAGAGATAAATAGACACACAACATAATTTCCCTTCACTACACTGAGAGTTGGATGAGGATAAATTCAATGAAATAATAATGAAGCATATCACACTTGAAAGATACAACACTTTTATACAATAGTCATTGGCCAATTGCGTAAATGTTGTGTCCCGAAGATCCTCTTCTGTGTGAAACTACTTACAGCACTGATTTGTGAGCTACCACTGATAGGTTTAAAAGATATGTACAAGCCTTCGTTACTACTTAAGTCATCACATTAGAACTACAGTAGCAATGATGGCTAGCAGCTAATCATTAAAAAGAAATTATTGGAGAAAGAAGGAATCTAAAGCTTTGTACAGACAGATCACAAAAATCTCTAATTCAGCTGATTTTTTTAATCTACTGAAAAGCAACAAAAAAAAGTAATATTGTTGAATAGATATTGAATATCAAATTAATATATTAATTTGAGTAATATTTTAAACACAATTTGCCAGTTACTTTGCAATTGCTCCACCAACAAAATAGTCTCAAACAAATTCAAAGCAGAACCATAGGACATCTCCAAGCAACACAGAGGGGTTTCATTCCTGAATGAATCAGCCTTTCTGAACAAATCCTTTGAATGAATAATAAAATGACTCACAAAAAAGTCACTAGTTTCTTAAATGAATCAGTGCTTTTGAACAAATGGTTTGAATTGACAACTCAATTACTCGCTCTAATGTTTCTTAAGTCAACCAATCATAAATTCAAATAGTACAGCTTAAATGCATTGCTTGTTCAAAGAACCAGTTCTTGATTTCCCCTTGCACTGCAAACAATTTTATGATTTATGATTTAGCATTTATGATTGAGGCGGGTTGTGCTACTGTACGAGGTTTTGCCAACAGTTTGAGGATACACTAGGGTTACGAGGTTTAGTCACAAGCTTTAGTATAAAGCTATTTAGAATAAAGTTCTATTCAAGGTCTGGTATAAAGTATAGGGGGGAAATAATTGTTCAAAAATAACGTTATTAATCAGTATTTTTTTCTAATAAAACTTCCTTCTGTAATGTTACAGAAGGAAAGCAGAACAGAAATGTTAAAATACTGATTCTGCTCGGAGTGAACCATTGATTTTTTTCAAGCCTTGCTGTAGTTACCTGTCTGTTAGCTGCTGAGGTAAGCAGCGCTTTCCCAAAGAAGGCAGGTCAAGTGTGTCTGGTTTTTTATCCAGGCGACATGCCTGCAGGTTTAAATACTTAAAGATGTGGATCTTTCCCTTCAGGCAGATCTGAAAGCAAGGAAGAAAATGTATCTAAAAACCGACAAGAACGTTTCTAAACATCACAGAAAAAAAACAGCCTCTGTAAAAGTGGATCACTGAAATTAATATTGATTAATTGAAATAAATAAATGCTCTTCTTTTGAAATGTCTATTTTCACAACTGTTTTCAACACTGATAATAATAAATGTTTCTTGAGCAGCAAATCACAATATTAGAATGATTTCTGAATGATCATGTGACACTAAAGACTGGAATAATGATGCTGAAAATACAGTTATTTTAAAATGTAACAACATTTAGCGTAACTGTTTTGTTGTATTTATATCAAATAAATGCAGCCTTGGTGAGCATAAAAGACTTCTTTTAAAAAAAACTGTTTTTTTTTAATCGCACCACATACATAGCAGACAGACAGACATTATAAATAGTCAATATTCATTCTCATGTAAATATTCACTTTAAGTCTAATGCAGCAATTTATGTAAGATACTGCAATGTGCTAACACATCATTGACATAATTCTTCTTAAAAAAAATTTAACTTGACTTGAATCCACCTGTACACTCTCCCTCTCTCCCTCTCTCCCTCTCTCCCTCTCTCTCTCTCTCTCTCTCTCTCTCTCTCTCTCTCTCTCTCTCTCTCTCTCTCCCTCCCCCTCCCCCTCCCCCTCCCCCTCCCCCTCCCTCTCTCTCTCCCCCTCCCCCTCCCCCTCCCCCTCCCCCTCTCTCTCCCCCTCCCCCTCCCCCTCCCCCTCCCCCTCCCTCTCTCAGCATTGCATTTCCCAGGAAAAACTAAACGGACCAAAGAACATTCCAAACAAATCCAAAATTAATTTCAGTCAAGGGAAGAACATGCTGAGCTCCACAACTGCGTGTCTGAGCAAGACAAGCCATAGTCAGGGAAAACATGATCTTTGTTTTTAGTTTTTTATCAACTTATCAGACAGAACAAAACATTACGCATTTTACGTGATTGTCTAAAAAAAAGGATTTTTCAGATGAAGAGGAAAAAGGACCAAGCCCTTATCAACAGCTCGCATTTCCTAAAAGACAATATACTGATGAGATTAAATCTGAGTTCTCAGAACACAGTTCTTTGATAACGCTGTGACTAGAACAACATAATCCTACACATCATCACACTCTGTGAAACAAAGAATTTTATCGTTTGATTTACTGCCCACAAGTACAGCAGCATGTGTCTTCCTTTCAAGCAAGAACAACACTGGAGAAACTTGGGTTAAGTGCATTGCTTAAGGGCACAGTGTGACGGCTGATGGGTCCCATGGATCCTTACAGTAATCAAACTGGAAAATGAAAAGTGTGGTTTGGTTAGAGCTGTGACGATGGCAGATTTTTACCACTGTGATGGTAAAAAGGCCAAGCACCACAAGTTCGCTGTGTTTTGGGGGGAGGGGGGTTGAGTGGTTGAGTAGCCTATTTATTTACGCAAATAATACACAATGCAGAAATTATGCTTGAAATGTGATTCAAACTTTCGAAGTTCACTCAAATTTAAACACTACAAAGTCCTTGAACATTTAAGACAATTGAAATTACTCAATTTTGAAACCAAACCATGTTTAATAATATTTCTCCAAAAAGATAATTGTGTCATCACATGATCCTTCAGAAATAATTCTTCTAATACGCTGATTTACTGCTCAAGAAACTTTTCTTATTATTATAAATGTTGAAAACAGTTCTGCAAAAAAAATTGTGGACACTAATAGTTTTTTTTCCAGGACCGTTATTTTTTGAGGGGGCATTCCTATGTGGTACCCCAAGTAAGATTAGAAAAAAAATTAAATACCATCATTACTGCATCAATATGCTTGATATTTTATGTGTTTCGCAATGTCAGCCACTGGATGGCGCCAACATAAAAAATTTTACCAACAGACAGGAACAACAATCAAGCAAGTCTTCAGCTTCAGTGCCACACATCATGTGAAGAGATACACAGTAACAGATGAGTACTACTGAAATACCTGGGCGGGAGGAGACTGCATGGGGTTGTTGTCAAGAACGATGTGCTGTAACTGCTTAAGTTTACGGTAAGATATGGGAATCTCAGTGATCTTATTACAAGAGAAATCCAACCTGATCAACGGCAGATGAGACAATTCTGTGAGAGAGTAAAGGAGAAAGAAAGGGGAAAACTAAAGATATAATGAGGAATTCCTTCCTATCTCAAAGTAAGTAGCATAACTAGCATAAACACTAAATGTGTTGAATGTGAATTTATATCCAGCTAAGCTTTTGTAGTTTTATCCGATTGATGCTTCTGTTGATATATCTGTCTATACCATCCGGTAAGACTTGTAGCCAGTTTCTTCGTATGTTGAGCTCTCGTAGCGCGAGTAGTTTCCCCATATGAGCAGGAAGCACCTGGATCTCATTACAGCTGATGTCCTGAACACAGAAAAAACATGTACTGTGTATATATGAACATATCGTATACAAATATTACACGTGTATTTTCACATACTGACCAGTTCCATGAGGTCTTTGGCCTTTCCGATCTCCTCAGGAATAGACAGGAGTTTATTGTTGCTGACCACAAGCACTTTCAGAGGAAGAATGAAGAGAAACTTGGGGAGAACGGACAGCTGATTTCGACTGAAAACATCAAAACACAAGGATTAGGTTCAATAGTCTTCAATAAATACTATTTAATACCATCTCTCACTTTCTTTAATGAGGAAACCCCAACAACAACTGAAAAAAAAAATTAAAGCTCTTACAGTTGCTGGACAAAAATACACTACTGTTCAGTGGTTTGGGGCTGGTAAGATTTTTTTATGTGTTGAAAGAAGTCTCTGCAGCCTCACCAAGGCTTTTGATTAAAAAAAATTCACCCAAATTTATTTGATAAAAATACAGTAGAAACAGTAATATTGTGACATATTACTACATATTTTAAGTAATTTTTTTCTATTGTAATATATTTTAAAATGTAATTTATCCATGTTGATTGCAAAGCTTTATTTTCAGCATCATTACTCCAGTCTTCAGGTGTCACATGATCCTTCAGAAATCATTCTAATACACTGATTTGCTGCTCAAGAAACATTTATTATTCTTATCAATGTTGAAAACGGTTGGTCTGCTTATTTGGATACCATGATGCATTTTTGGGAATTTTGGAATCAATTATTTTGCAACATTATAAATGCATCTTGATTCTTTGCTGAATAAAAGTATTAATTTATATAAAAAATAAAAAAAAATAAAAAATTACTGACCCAAACAAGCTGCTGAAAATTCTGATTTGGAACCGAAGGATTACATTACGTTTTAAAATATATAAAAATAGAAAGATTATTATTTAAAGTTATTTTACTTTTATGTATAATTATATCATAAGTTATTTTAAATTGTAATTATATTTCACAATGTTAGTTTTTACTGTATTTATGATTAAATAAACACAGCCTTGGTGAGCACAAAGTTTACTTGACAACAATTGCACCTGCAGTCGATTCCAATGCATTTCTATGGGTCTGAATTTGATTTAAAAGCGGTTTCAGTCAAAAGACATTATTTTAACAGCTTGATCAACAACAGCATAATAGACAGATGTCAAGATAGTCTTAGAAATAGATGATCTTAAAAGACAAAGACATCATAGTGTGGGTGTTACCTGATGTTCAGGTAGGTGAGCATCTGTAGGTTTATAATGGCCTCTGGAATGACCTTTATGCAGTTGTGATAGAGGTTTAAAGACTCCAGCGGCGCAAACATACAAACTTCTGGAGGGAGTTCACAAAAGCGGTTTTTCGACAAGTCTGTACAGAAAAAAGATAAAGTCAGTTTAACGTGGCGAAGTATACTGTGAACATTTTCAACTGAAAGATACACACATTTACAAATTAATAATGCATGCTAGTGTACTGCACATCCAAACAAACAGGAAGTTTGAAGCCCCTGTTACTCAGGAAATGTCTACAGGTAGAATGACTGAATAATTGAATAATTAATTGGTTGATTAGTCTGATCTATAGGAGTTTCACCTTATCAGACATTGACAAAGCAGCAGTGTAACACACACACACACAGAGAGAGAATGCAAGAGAGAGAAAATAAGAGAGGTAATTATTGATTTGTCAAGGCGGTACATTTAATTCAGATGCGGTGTGAAGAGCTCCGTCACAAGCTCTGCTGTTGTGACACCTAGCAATAAAACGGCTGAGATTCACAACAGTGAAATGAATGTGACCCGCTCACTTTTCATAAAAAAAAAACGGTCAAAAGAATGTATCACATTGAAAATATGCTTAAATATGTTCAATTGACCGTTCGCAGGCCCCTCCCCCAAAACGGCTATTGTCCAATCACACATCATAGCAACCGTTACTATGTGAGCAGGTCCGTCAAACATTGACTCCAAGCAAGATGGTGAAGCGGTGCGCCCACGGCGTTTGTAAATCGGACACTAGATACCCCGAGAGATTGTCTGGAGGAGTTGTGTTCTTTCCGTTTCAAAAGCCGAAAACACAACGTGCGTTGTCCCTACAATGGATAAAAACAGTGTGGACGGCCCCACTCCCAGTTAAATGTGTCAGACAATGAGATTAGTCAAAGACACATGGAGAAAGCAGATCAAGAGGATCAAGAGGATCCACAAAGGAAGTACGTTTTCTTAAGTGTTGTTGTTAACATGATATTTTCGGGGAAAATATCATGAAAATATTTCCATGATATGAGCAGCAGTCACTAGCGCAGGCAGCACCTGTAGACTACAGTTTAGACTAACGTTAGAGCAAAATTACTAAATATTCAGCGCGAGTTATATATTTCTAACTCCAAACAATTAGCCACTGAAACAGCTTATAGAATCTTCTTCAAGGCTGTGCTGGTTGCATTTGAGGTAACGTTACAGGTCATGGGGTTTCTCAGATTTCGCTTGAGACCGGTTTGAGACCTTGAGAGCATTATTAGCCTCGATAGTAGTCGTGTCTCCTTCATTGCGTATTTTTATATTTTGAATATATCCCTCCACTGCATACTGTAACCACTTTTGCCTCGATCTGGAGGATATCGCGGAGGTATTGCTCCAAAAAAGGTCACTGACGCACCTCTTCCCGTCATGGCAATCTGTGGCGCTGGTCGTGTTTGACCATTTGTTTGACGGGCGTAGCAACAATAACTAGGGGGCGTGGCTTTTGCGAACGGTCAAACTATTACACAACAGTTAGTCCGTTAACAGTTAGCAGTTAGTCAGTGACACTTTCTTGCCAGTTACATCATTATGCCATTAGGTGGTGACAAGTGACTTTTTGAATCATTGTTTTTTATTTTTTTTATTCAACTTTCATAAAAGCTTACAATGACATTTAACATCAAACATAAGCCAAACAGATATTGGGGAAAACATATAACAGATCTTACATTGTAAGGATTAAAACATAAAAAAAAAAATATATAAGAGGTCTTATTGAATCATACTCAAATGATTTGTTCAAAAACACAGTTCTGAGACAATTAAAGGTTCATCTTGCTTTGGCTTCATTTGGGACCATTTTGACTGGTAAAGCACACAAAAAAGGATATAAATTGATAGCCCTCATCCTGAGACATCAATCTCTCAAAAAAAAAGAAACACCCAGAATTATAACAATTTCAACCAATCAGAACTGAGTTGTCATTGTGCTACCATGGGAGCAGACATGCATGCAGAAGAAAAGTCATGTCAACTTCCTCTATAATTCACATCCCATTTGAAAAGAGAAATGTGAGAGGAATATAAAAGACTAACTATATCAAAGCAGACTGAAAAAGAAGAAATACAAACAGAATTATTTTGTGCCTGTTACAGATAATATCCTTCAGGAGTTTGAGGCCAAATGCCAGCAAAAAAGAATTCATTAAATATTATGGGTTTGGCACTTGTCAGCCAATGAGATGCAAGCAGGAAAAAAAACTATTTGATTGTGCAGCGGTCGTTGCCAACCTGAAACTGTGCTGCCTGGCAACTCTTACAGACTGGAGCAGTGTTGCTTGGCAACCGTTACCAACCCAAACTGTGCTGACTCCAACCTCAGAAATTCCTCTTGAACAGCCTTCAGTTGGCTGATAGAGAGCACAGCAGACTCACGTTAGTTTAGCAATCGGGCTTCAACATTGTCAACATTTACACACCACGCAACATTTCACTTCAAATGCTCAAACGTTTAAAAAGATCATTGTATTGTATCATCGTATTATACATACGTTTATTTGTGTATGTGGCGAGGGGGGCGTGGTTCAGCGAACCCTGTAGCGGGAGAGAGAGGCGGGAGCCGAGCGGTAAGTGAGTAGGTCAAGTGCAGATGACGAACACCTGTGTCTGATTGCAGTGATTGGCGCGGAGAGACCGGATAAAAGCCAGCGGGAACGAGCGAGAGATGGACTGGAAACTCGCGTGCAGAGCCGAGAAACGCCGTCTGTTTTGATTCTGTTTGATGTTGTGCGGTGTCACGTAATGCCGAGTTCAGACTGCACGATTTTCAAAATAATCGGGTCACTGTTGTTTTCACACTGCATGACTATCTGGGGTAACATTCAGTTGCTGCTGTGTTCACACTGCACGATGGATCGGCGACAGGAGGTTTCACACTGCATGACTTTACAAAAGAAAGAATCGCCGGCAACTTCTGCCTGGTCCGCAAACTACGTTTCACAACCAAACAAACGCGAGAAGTGATAGGAAATAACGGAAGATCACAATAGTAAGAGACCGGAGTTCTCGCGCGACACTGAATTTATTATTAAAAATGATAGCCTACAAATTGTCTGTGCACTGATTTGTAGCGAGAGAAAAAAAACAACAACGAAAAAACAGTTTATGCAGGAAATGGTTGGGAAGACGAGGGGAGCAGGGACTGTGTTTTGCAAAGAGAGTTGGGGGTAAATAAATAATTTTGCAAATGTCCTGCTGTTGCTGCTGGTCATGCAAATGTTTGTGCTTTGTTTCTGTTTGATATAATTGTAAATATAGGCCTATCTATTAAAATACTGATATTCTGGTCTATAACTCCTCCTCCTCCTCCCTGTATCTTGCTCTCTCATTGGCTGTCGGTCATCGCCGATGTAGTTTTCAGTCAGAACACATTCACACAGCAGGATTGTGAATCGCCGACAGGTCCAGATATTTAGCATGCCAAATATCTCACGGCGTCGGCGATTCTCTCAGATCGCGTCTTTGCTCATTCACACTGCGTGATTGTCACTCGCGTGAACGAGCACCGATTTGCCTGTGATTTCGGGCTTTTGTCGGCGATTTCTCAAAACCTGTCGGTGAGCCAAATTTGGGGCTAAAATCGTGCAGTCTGAACTCGGCATAAGTGACACGGTGAATGCGCTCGTGCGCGGCTCTCTCTTTTTGTTTATCTTTTTGTTCTATAAATAAATCGCGAGTCCCAGTCACGCCGACCCCGGTCTTCTTCCTTCTTCAAACACTGAACCTCATCACAGTGTGGTATAATTTTCAGATGTGCATGTGATCATGTGCTAGACAATGCAAAAATCTTTTTTCTGGTCCAGTCGGCCGAGGAGTCATGTTTTGGCCAGTTAAGCCTAGTTCACACTACAGGATTATAAGCCCGATTTGCAAATCGTTGAGCTCGCCGACAGGTCAGGGTGTTATCGCGTGCAAATCGCGGGGGATTAGCGGACGATGGACGCTCGCCAATCTGTTAGTATGAAAGAGCCAACAACGCATCAAAGACGCTCGCTGACGCCTCGCAGACGCGTCGCCGAGCCCAGAAAAATATCTAGCATGCTAGATATCCAGAGCTGTCGCCCGACTCAACCTCAGTGATGTCATGAGCTACAGCCAATCAGAGCAAGGCATGGGTTGCTCCAATCAGAGCAAGGCATGGGTCTTCGTCTTCTTCGCTGGGTATTAGCGCGCGTGATGTTTCGCGTCATTTCCGGTTCGTTTTATCGCATGATTTTTTGTGACAAAACGTGGTTTGTAGACAAGATTGAATCGTTGGGTGACAGAGTTGTTGTCAACTCGTGTAGTGCGTTACCTCCTGTTGCGGATCAATCACGTTGTGTCGTGTGGTGTGAACAGCTCAACAACTTGAACACTCCTGATTTCACAGAGAGCAAGTCATGTAGTGTGAACCGGACAGTTCAGCCCGACGTTTTAAAATCATGTAGTGTGAACTAGGCTTTAGCTGTAACCATACCCGCACCACCCTGCAAACCTTTATTCATTATATTATAATCATAGACTGTAAAAAAAATAGATTTTTAAAAATACTTTAAGTTAAGGGATTTGTGCTTTTAAAAATGATAAATCATTTTCAGTCACATTTGAAGAATATGACATGATGACTGGGAACAGAACTTCAAAACTATAAAACATTCTTCAAAATATCTATGTTCTGCTGACGAAAGAAATTCATACAGTTTTGGAATGACATGAGGGAGAATAAATGACAGAATTTACATTTTAGGGTGAACTAACCCTTTATAGGTGAAGTAAGCGATATTTGAAAAAACGCAGTTTGAAAGTTGGACAGACCGACAGCCAACTTTCCGTGTAGCCAATCAGCATTAGGGGGCGTATGATGGTGGAGGAGAGAGAACGAGCAAGAGGGAGATATGAAGAAAGACTGAAGAAAGAGAGATGGCTGAGAGACATTACAAAAGAGATAAGCTCATAAGAATATTACTGGGTTAGAAGGGTTGTGTGGTTGATGAAGGGTTATGATCAGGAAAGAGCTTTAGGACCCACGTTATATTAGAAAAGCTTTCCAGCGCTGGAGAGAGCTAAGCGGGAAGGCCTGAAAACAGA